CCCCCCCCTCCCCTCCCCCCCTTCCCTCCCTCCCTCCCTCCCTCCTTCCCTCCCTCCCCCTCCCTCCTCCCTCCCTCCCTCCCTCCCTCCCCCTCTCCTTCCTTCCTTCCTTCCTTCCTTCCTTCCTTCCTTGTTCAACCTCATATGCATTCATTGCTATTTAATATCATTTGACAATTTTCTTTGCTCATTGTTTTGTCCTGTCGAACGTAATAAAATGTCCTTTCCACCAGAGCTAGGCAGTGATCTAGGTTTGAAGAGGAACACATGAGCCTTTGTCAGCAGGTCCCCAAAAAAGTCTATCCTCCCTGGTCATTCCTGCAATCATGTCAGAACCGATGCAAAAATCCAGGGAACAGACACAGTAACTTGACAGAATTGCAAGGAGTTCTCTCTTTGTACTCCGAAGCACCTATTCTGAACTATTTCTGACTTATTACACAATGGCAACACGCATCCAGCGTGCTGGCCAAGAGGATGTGGGTTTTTAACCTACCAGCCCTCTGCTTTTGTCCAGCAGATGTGGTGACCTTCCTGCCATGTTTTAATTTTGCTGTGTCTGGAGGATGCAAGGAGTGTGATTAGTGATATGATCAAGATAATGGGCAGGGGTGAACTTTTGATGTTTTGGAGGAGTTTGGGAGGCTTTGGGGGGGGTGATTTTGCACCTCAAAATCTCTTAAAATAGGAAAATCAGTTGAGAAGTTGGCGAGAAATTTAGAGTTGTGGTAATGCCTGAAACTCTACAAGATAATGCTGGCTTCATCCCAAATCAGGAGACCCAAGTTTTAAGACAATGGGATGGGATGGGATGGGATGGGATGGGATAGGATAGGATAGGATAGGATAGGATAGGATAGGATAGGATAGACTAACTTTATTGTCACTTTGAATGTACACTAATCGGCATACATTAAAATGAAATTTCATTGCAAGAGCTCTCAAAGGGTCATCACCTCCAATACACACTACATAACCCTGGCAGAATAAATAAATAAATACAAAATTATGCATATACCCACATATATTACATGACACAGAGAAACAACACAATCAAGTTTGGATGTATATATGTTTATGGCGAGGAAAAACAAACCTTGTGAGTTTACCAGACGGATGGCATAAAGGAACAAGGCTGTTGCAGAATCTGCTAGTCCTGCTAAAAATATTTCCAAACCTCCTCCCAGAGGGGAGCAACAGAAACAGACTATAAAGTAGGCGTGTGGGGTCTCTAACAATGCTTTGAGCTCTAAGCTCATAGCGCTTTTAAGCAGTATCCTGAATAATGGGAAGCGAGCTTCTCCACTGTCTTCACCATGCTCTGTAGGTACTTTCTATCTGAGGCACCCCTGGGAAGGAAGCAATGGCAAACCATTTCTGAAAAAACTACAGGATCTTCTTGTCCAGGCACACTCTGAGAATCAGAGATGATTGAATAAATGGGGGGTGGGAAAGGGTGATTGAGAAAATTCATAGAGATAAAAAAATTAAAGTTTTTTTAATAGATATATTTACAATAATTCCATCCTTCATTTCAACAGTGTGTCATCTGGGTACATATGTCTTCTGTTAACAATTATAATTAATACTTTTGTTAC